GGGGGGGGGGGGGGGAGGGAGAGGGGAGGCGGGAAACGGACCGCGGAAAACGTGAAAATTCATGTCGAATAAGAAGGGAACCGTAACACGTTCGCGCAATTCGCTCGCTCGGAGAATCGACGTTGAGAATCGATGAAGCGTGACGTGTTTCAGTGAAAATGATGAAGTATTTAATATATAGTTAATAGACGCGCGCGCGGACGCGTTACACTTGATCGATGCTCCCCATCAGTCAGCTGCGTGTATCTCGGGGAGATGTGTATAATCGTCGATCCCGCCGCTTTGCGAGTATTCAAAATGCAGCGGCGCACGCAAAAGAATTCGACGCTCGCGAAACGAAGTTTCCCGCACACAGTTGCGTGGACAAAAACCAATCTAATTACAGAACAAAAGAGAGACAAAAAGAAAGGGGGAGAGATTCACGTCACGACGACGACGACGACGACGACGACGATCGTCGCGTTTCCGTCTGCGCGAATAAACGTACGGATCTAACGAAATTATGGCGGAATTTCTGTCGCTGTCGGATTCGCCGTCGTTTTTAAGATACAAAGGTGCGCGTTTAAAAGAGACACGTCCGGAATGTGCATATTGGTAGGAAGCGAGCGAGAGCGAGCTGGCGCACGCAGCGCGTTACGTCGTCGCAAATTTCATTATTCTGAATTTTATATCACGATACGTTCATTTGTTCGCCCATGATGGGACGGATCTCCCCGCCGTTGGCGTGGCGGGACGGCGGCTACCAGACGACACTGTTATTGCATAATTATGGAAATTTCGGACGGCGGACCTACGATCATTCGGATGTTTCGAATGGCGTAAAAGTATTCGATACCTCGATTTGAATATCGAGGGCGAAAATATGAAACGGGTTAAATCAGATTTGTCCTTGCCCGGTCCGCGCTCTCTTCAGCGTGCGCGTGTATGTTGTAACTTTACCTATCATATTCCGAATCCGTGGCATGCCACGCGCGGTTTGCAGCGTTCAAGTTAAAATGCGTCAAATCCATAGAGCGGTAGACTATCGGGTATCAACGTGTTCCGGTGGCATTTAATTTTGCCGGTCTTCAAAGCTACGCGCTTGATATCGCTCTTTTTTGAAAATTTCGTGCGCACGGACTAAATCCTGCTAAATATTTCACGGCTCCGTCCTCCAGTGTGCAATGGGAGAAATGACAAATTATAGTTAACGCTCCAACTGGGCTCGAATGCGCGATAACGAATGTATTTTCCGTCATTTAGCTCACCGTACAGCACTTCCTCATCAACCGTATCGATTCTGAACGCTATCCGAGAAAATTCAACACGTTTTGACCGTTCGTCTGAGCGCGGTAACAATCGGCATCGTTTTCCTATTAACATAATTGCCATCTATTTTACATTCAGCCGGCGAATTAATGCGATGGCTAATGACACGCGCGCGCGTGCGATATCGCGCTTTGCGCGTCGCACGCGTAATTATCTGTCGCGAATAGTCGTGCGAAAATTTGTTCTCTCTACCTCTGTCTCTCTTTATTTATTTCTCTCTCTTTCTCTTGCTTTCTCATGTATGCATCCCGGCGTTCGCGTCCGCGTTTTACGGAGTCGCGAAAGGCACAGGGCCTCGCGTGGAGAACGAGTGGAAAACGTCGGTAGGGGGTTGAAGTCGGTGCCGCAAAGCGGGGCGGCTGCGAACGGGTTGCAAAGGGGGGTAGATGCGTCGGCGTGTTGCGCCGTAGCTTTTGCCGCGGCGGCTGGCAGTCCATTGGCGAAGCCCTAACGAGCAACGGGTGAGAGCGCGGAGCGTAGCCACGAAAAGATTCATAAGAACTCGAGCGAGGGAAAGTGAAGACGTGCCTTTCCTCGCGCGGCAGCGCGCGCGCGTGTTCATTCGATTCTTTTTTTTTCCCTCTCCTTGTACGTACACATGTTGCTCCGGGCTCCGACGACGAGACGGTCCGTTTCATTGCCGTTGTGTCGCGATAGGTTTTCGTTTTCGCGTCGCGGGTAAATAAGTTGTTCGTTTGGAGGATTGTTAATGAAGGAGACTGTCTTGGTGCGGACTTCAGACGACTCTGTGAAGTGATTCGCGCCGTCGGCGTCCTCGTCGTTGCCGTCGCGATACGTCGCGAGTCTAGCGGAAAATTCGGTAAAAAAGCAGTGTTTCGCCGGTCGAGTCCTCGATGATGAACGAGCACATCATCGTGTGCATCCCCTAGTGCATCGGACTTTGAATTTGTCGACATGTGATCGTGCATGGGCTAGAGAGGGACGTCTGCATGCGATCTCGAACCAGCCGCTTTTCCGCGTCCGGCTAGCCCGCGGACAATCGGAGTTAGCTTGCCGAGAGTGATCATAGAAATTGCAAACGTTTGTACACACAACAGACCAAACAGCGACGCTCCCCCGTTTACACGTAAACGATTGCGGTATACGGTCCCTTTTTCCACAGGAAACGATGAAAGTGAATCGAAAAGTTAGAAAATCGAAAAAAAACTCTCTTTCTCTCTCTCTACTCTATTCTCTCTACTATACTCTCATTCGCAAATAGCTTCGAATCGTTTTCGCGTAATTTCGAGTTTGCAGTCCCGTTCGCAGCTTCACGCTCGATAAATTTTATTCGTCATAAAGATCAGCGCGATAGCGCGCCATATTCATTGGCCGAAAGAAAAAAGGAAGGGCGCGTTCGTTGCACACGATTGCACGACGCGGCAAATGTGTTTTGTCGCGGCTGAAGCGTCCGTCTCTCGTTTAAGTGGATCGACGGAAAACTATCGGCGCGCATTACGGCCGAAATGTGTATGATGCGGAACGTCCGAGTTCACTTCTCGGCGCGTGACATCGCGTGTATAATAATCTAACCGCACTGTTAACCCGTGTCACGTTGTTAGTCTTGGATTAAAACCTGTACGCCGGACACCGCGAAAGTAGGACACGTCCGGTTCCGCCCTTCGCGGCATTACCTGGTCCGGTCGAGGGACAAAGAGGCGACATGGAAGGGAGGAACGAGAAAAAAGTAAAAAAATAGAAATAAAAAAAGAAAAAAAAGAGGGAGAGAGAGAGAGAGAAGGAGGGAGTGAAGGGGAGAAAACCGCGGAAAACGCACGTGAAATTTAATGAAAGAGGACATGTTGGCCTCGTGACGTGATTCGCGCCGTCAATTGTGCAATGGGATTGACATTACGAATGCAGAGAATTTCCGTGCTGTGGGTGACGATAAATTTTTTACGCTCTTCCGTTTTTTCGGTGGCCGCGCGTTTCTCCCCTCGCGAGATGGGCTGATCATCGGTCGTTACTTGAATCCCGCGTGAGCTATTATGTTTATCGTCGGGAACGGAAAAAAAGAAGAGAAAAGAAAAGAACAACAAGAGCAGAAGTACATATTTGTCGCGAGGATCGGCCGATCAACAACGAGCGAGCCACAAACATTTCTTTTACAATTTATACCGCATTCAATTCAACTCAAGTCGCCGCAGTTGATTCGAATCAGATTCAATAACAGTTGCATTAGCAGTGCTACTTGTTTGCCGAGCCGGCGTTGATGTTGTAAACAACTGTCAATGCAGCGGCGACGTTCTCTCGGTATATTTAACGTGCGCCGGGTGGTTTAGAGCGCAACGGGAGACTAGAACGCAGATGGAGAAATCCCCCTTCCATTTGTTATTTTTCACTTTGTGTGCTGTGTATTTTTTGGGTAAATATTCAAAGTTCCAACGCGCTCGCGCGCACGAGAAGGAGGGAAGGTGTGAGGGAACGAAAGAGAGAGAGAGAGAGAGAGAGAGAGAGAGAG